CTCTCTCTCTCTCTCGCTCTTTTTTTTTATGATTTTGACACTGTAATAAATTATCTTTAGTCTGTAAGAAAAATATGCACAATTAATATTAGCTTTATTTATTTACTTTTTTTTTTGCAATTAAAAAAAAATCATATTTGTTTTCAGTTTAGTGCATATTTAAGCATAAAATGATACGAATGATATAAGTAATACATCATATGATGTAATTTATTGGTAGAACCACTACAGGTGCATCTCAATAAATTAGAATGTCGTGGAAAAGTTTTATTTAATACACGAGTTTCACAATTTGAGTTGAATTACTGAAATAAATGAACTTTTCCACGACATTCTAATTTGAGATGCACCTATATATTGAAAACGTGTGAAAATCAGTAATTCTGAGTCCTTTGAACTTTAATATTACAGATTTTATTGTACGAAAAAAAAAATCCATATTTTGTGTTCCACAGAAAAACTGAAATCACACTGCTTTGGAACGACATGAGGGTGAGAATGTGCTGACAGAATTTTCTTCTTTTTTGTGGTACTAGGGTAAACTCTCCCTTTAAAGGGAGAAATGTAACTGGTGAGATGTGAAGAGCTTGCAGCGCTGCACCCTGTTACCCATCAACTGTTTGCTCTGTTCACCAACACTCGAGGGCCTGGGGGTTTGTGTCTGGACTGCACAGCATCTGGCTGCTGTGTCCTAAAGCATGAGCTGTTTGTTATGAAAATAGTTGTGTGACAGGACAGCAGATGGCTGCGGCGACACTTTTAGTTCTACCTGAGGCTACGCAGTGACATATACTCACAATATGATTCAAATCAAGCAGAGAGACTAGTGAGGAGGGGGGCGTAATGATCAGCGACCGCTGAGGCCTGCCGTACGTACTACATACCTGTTTTGACATTCAATCAAACTGCTCTTTTTTTCACTCATAAATAAAACTTCTGTCATCGTTTTCCATTATTTGATTTAAAACCTTGTAGGATTTGTCCAAGTTGTCCAATGTCCAAGTTGCTCTTTTTTTGTTGATTTCCTATGCTCTTTTCTGATTCATCCCGCCAGTAAAAAAAAAAAACACACACACCATGAAGTGATCCATGTACCTCACGTCTTCTGAAGCAGCGTTATTTTAATATCATTGATGTGCTATTAGTTTAATTTTTGAATTACATTTGAATTCCGTTTTTTTTTCTTTTTTCCTTTAATTTTGTTTAGTTGTAGCAATTGTTGTGTTTTTTTGTCATTTTTATTAGTCAGTTTTTATTAATTGTTTTTTCAATATGTCTATATAGTTTTATTGAATTTTTAGTTATTTTAGTACTTCAAGTAAATCTAAATGAAATTGAGAAATGTTAGCTGAAATACAAACAAACGATGTTAAATTTTTTAAATATATTTTATTTCAGTTAATGTTATTTTGTTTGTAGTAACATGTTTTCTGGTTTTCATTATTTTCAGTTTTCAAATATTATCCTTTAAAAATATAAAGGATAATATTTGAAATTTTTGAAATCTGATAATATTTTTCATATTTGAAAACTGAAAATAATGAAAACCAGAAAACATCTGATACTACAAACAAAATAACATTAACTGAAATAAAATATATTTAAAAAATTTAACATCATTTGTTTATAATAATAATATAATAATATTTTTGATTTATGTCTGTGCACCAGTGTTGTTATCATTTAAAACTATAAAAATACTTTCTGGTAATTTTAATAAACCTGTAATAAAATAAAATATAAGTGTTTGTTGGCATTAGTTTTTTTAACCTGTTCCTGTTTGAATTCTTGACTCTTTCCCAGGTGCATGATGTAATGCAATGTAAAACAATCATTTCTGTTGAGTGTCAATTGCCGCAAAGAAACATATGCATGGTATGTGCTTTATAGGGTCATTTGAAGTTACGTCTCGCTTCATTCATGCACCATTAGTGTCTTGCAACTTTGAGTTTCAAAATAGTATGTTCTGATGCTGACTGAGATATGGTTGAGGTGAAGGTTGTATAATACGTTGTTACGCTGATGGGAGAATCAGTATTATGCATCAGGTCTCGCATATTTGGAGTGGACCATGATGATTCATTGTGCAAGTCTAAAACTGCATCACTGCTCGTTTATCTCCCGCTAGGAATTCCTTGAAAGAAGGCTCCCTTATTTTGCCTTGCTGAAGGTGGGCAACCCTAAGGTCAGCAGTATTATAGGTTCCTGGAGAGGCCCGCTCAGTGTGGGGCTGGAATAGCTGGGGGTATTTCACGCAAGGCAAATGACCATTCTTCCAGTCATAAGGTCGCGTGTCATTGTTTACATGCCTGAATAGGTCAAGACTGCTTAGTCAGGTTTCGTGTTAGTTTATGGCTGCTCCCGTGCCGTGCGACCGTTTTATCATTAACACATCTGTGAGCGCGAAGGCCATTGGTCCACCTGCTCCGCTCACCTGCTAAACATAGTTCAAGTCAGTCGCTCCGTTAAGTTTGTTAATCTGTTTATTTGTGGCTTTGTTAGGATCTGAAAGCAGCTCATATTTCAGCTTCAGCTGCGTGACTTCAGGAATCTCATACAGTAGCTCATTTGTCAAACTGAAATAGATACCGTCCTCGTGACAGGTTGACGTCTATCGCTCTTGCGTTAAATGACTTTGAATTCTCGGTTTGGTCAGGACGGTTCAACAGCATGTGAATCTCGCACAAGTTTTGGTAAAGTTAAGTTCTCTTTCACTGAACAAACTGACGTTTGATTTTGTTGCTGCGTTCAAGTTGGATTGGAATTGATGTTACTAAAGTACAAAGGTGCAAGTGAAATAGAAAATAAACCCTGTAACTTTCACCATTTGCCATGTTTAGCACTCGAGGTCGACGGGTTACATGTATTCTTTGGTGTGAAAAAACCTCTGACAGTCTGACAATAGCTATTCTTCAGGTTAGGGTTACCTGTTTTACCTGCCGATTTTGGAAAGTTTTTGCTGGGATGGGCATTTAAAAAAATCTGAAATTTGCTTTTGCGCCATTATCTCCTTGTATTAAAGTTAATCTTGTTCGCATTCTGTACAGTTCATGTCTGATACCACGCGCTAGCGTGACGTGTTCATGAGGATTAGGCTAATCATCCCATATAGAAAACATCACAAGTAAAATTAATCATGTTTATAAAGATAAACATGGGTTTATTATAGCCCACTTACAATTTACATTTCAGAGATCATTACAAATAAATTATTAAATGCTAAAACTGAATAAATTTAAATGAACAAACTTGGCGTTGCATTTGCAACCATGTGAAAACAGGGGGTGCTGCAGCCCCCTCAGCACCCCTACTTTCCGCGTCCCTGTACCACGCAGTGGAAAAGCGCAGCGCCATTAGACTGTACGGTTCTATGAAGAGACATTTTTATTAAAAAATCTTCAATCATTGAAACAACTAGTGGAACAGTTTCCGTTATATCTGCACATTTGTCCTCTGCAGTCTTATTGGATGCAGGACAGGAAAAGTGGACGTCAACCTCCTCAACTCGGTCTCCATGGAAACCTGCCCAGTACCTATTCATTTTCTTCTAAATAGGACAAGAAGAAGAAGGGACAGGAGTATTGTTTCTGATATATTATGAAGAGCAATTTGGACTTCATTGCTTGTGACCTGGCAGAGGATCAAAATGAGGATCATATATATATATATTTATATATATTTTTTTTTTTCAGAATTAATAATTTTCTTTTAGTTATTACATCACATGAAAGTTGTGGCAATAAATTCCAATGTCCTAAACTGTCCTAAAAAACTAAACTGGTTTCTTTTTTCTGGTTTATCTTTGCCAGTGTAATACCATTTTTGTTTTTATTTATCACAAGTTATGGAAATAAATTCCACTTGTCTTGGCTGTGTGACAATAGATAGATTGATGAATGGGTGACTTCTGAACATCTGTAATCAGAGAGTTGACAGAGTTTCCAACATTCAACAAGATAAATAATATCTTGTCATGGAACAGATGTGTTCTAATTTGGGAGAATATTTTTGTTTATTAAATCCAGGATGTAGGATCATTCCCATAAGCACTTGAACCAGCCAGGAATGTCCCACTTGAGATCTGGTACTGACCCGTCTGCTATACTGACAGCTTGGGCTGATGAGAATAAACCAAGCAATGCGATGTTATAAGACCGGCTTTTGCTGTGTCATTATTATTGTTTTTTTTTCAGTTTAGCAGTTAATGTTGATCAAGAGACAAAATTGTTTTGTTTTACGGCAAAATGCATTACTGAAAGGATATCTGTCTGTGTGTGTGTGTGGTGTGTGTGGTGGGGGGGGGATTGATTCGCACCTGCCGGACACTGGCTCTTCTCCACTGGCTCAGTTTTTGGGCCTGATGTCTGAATCTGCAAGAGTGACTCGAGTTGAATAGGAGAATAAGAAAGACTGTTAAGGGCACAAAGAGACTGTTATTCTCTGAAACCTCATGAGAAATGGGTTGAGCATGTCTGTGTTTGTAGACAGCATGAGAAAATATCAGAGTGAGTGTCACAAAACTTGTCAACAGCAATGTCAAGGTCAGCTGAAAAGCGACAGTTAGTTATTATGGGTGAATCTCAAAAAAAAAAAAAAAAAA